CCTGCCTTGGCCTCCCAAAGTACTGGGATTACAAATGTGAGCCATCATGCCTGGGCTCTAATTTTTTTCTTTTTTTCTAACTTTTGTATTTTTAGTAGAAATGGGGTTTCACCATGTTTGCTAAGCTGGTCTCAAACTCCCGACCTCAAGTGATCCACCCGCCTCAGCTTCCCAAAGTACTGGGATTACAGGCGTGCACCACTGCACCCAGCCAATTGCAAAAAATTTAAAACATTAGCTGGGTGTAGTGGCACATGACTATAGTCCCAGCTACTTGGGAGGCTGAGGTGGGAGGATCACATGAGCCCAGAAGGTCAAGGCTGTAGTGAACCATGAATGCAACACTGCACTCGAGCCTGGGCAACAGAGCAAGACCCTGTCATAAATGAATAAATTAATAAATAGATAAATGAATGAATGAAAAAAATTCAATTTTTAACTTTGCTTAGGACCCATTAGTGATTTATGATTACCTCTGGTTAAGCATGAGCAAACACATGATAGAAAAGAAACAATTTGGCTGGGAGCAGTGGTTCACATCTGTAATCCCAGCACTTTGTGAGGCCAAGGCAGGAGGATCACGAGGTCAAGAGATCGAGACCATCCTGGCCAATATGGTGAAACCCTGTCTCTACTAAAAATACAAAAATTAGCTGGGTGTGGTGGCGTGTGCCTGTAGTCCCAGTTACTTAGGAGGCTAAGACAGGAGAATTTGCTTGAACCTGGGAGGCGGGAGGTTGTAGTGAGCCGTGATTGCACAACTGTACTCCAGCCAGCCTGGGTGATAGAGCAAGACTCTCTCAAAAAAAAAAAAGAAAGAAAAAAAGAAACTTTGAAACTATTTTACTGGTATCCTATTGCATCAATATATTCTGAAACCAGGGACCATAAGGAAACGTTTCATTACTTGGACTTAAAAAAAGAAAATGCCATGTAGACTGTTTTTTTTTTTTGAGACAGAGTTTCGCCTTGTCACCCAGGCTGGAGTGCAGTGGCATGATCTCCGCTCACTGCAACCTCCACCTCCTGGGTTGATGTAATTCTCAGCCTCCAGAGTAGCTGGGATTACAGGCATGCACCACCACGTCCAGCTAATTTTTTTGGTATTTTTGGTAGAGATGGGTTTTCACAATGTTGGCCAGGCTGGTCTTGAATTCCTGACCTCAGGTAATCCACCTGCCTTGGCCTCCCAAAGTGCTGGGATTATAGGCATGAGCCACCATGCCTGGCTTTTTTTTTTGAGACAGAGTCTCACTCCATTGCCCAGGTTGATGTGCAGTGGCACAATCTTGGGTCACTGCAACCTCCACCTCCTAGGTTCAAGTGACTCTTCTGTCTTAGCCTCCTGAGTATCTGAGATTACAAGC